ATGTAATCAGTGACTGTGCTAGCAAAAGAAAATAAGCAAATATAAATCTAAATGCTTATACAAACAAATCTTAAATTTTCAATTTATGTTTGTGTAGATATCAATGATGAATTACTGCCTATCGACTCACAATCAGTTACAATGACTATGGATGCTAATACTCAAGAGGATATGATGATAATCTCAAATCTTGAATCCTGCCATTCCTGAGGTATCAACTTCTAATAATCAGTCAGCTGATTTAGCACTGAAGAAACAAATTGCTAAAGTTGTTCCTAAAAATAAAACTCAATATACTTCTGCTTTAATGAAGCAATCACGCATGCCAGTTACTTCAAAGGCAAATTTTTTAAGGAAAGGTTAGTTCTGCGACGCTATCGCAGTTTTGTCAGTAATAAAAATATATATTTTTCCTGAATACTATATACATGTATAAATTTTTTTGATAGGAGTTTATCATGAACGATTAGGAGTTTAACTTAACAAAGCTCGAAAAGAATTTACAAGTCTCGCTGAGCGGACATGCGAGGCGACAAAGGAAAAAAATAATTTGTTTAGAAAAATATAAAATTATTAATAAGAAACAATTATCATAATATGATATTTGCTACAGGTGTTAGCACAGGCCGAAAAATTACGGGCAGAGGCAGCCTTAATACAAGCAGAAAATAATCGTATACATATTGATATTCTCTGCACTATGGCAGAAAATGACAAAGCCAGGAATGAAGTTTTACTTCGTCTTGTAGATACTTTGGATTTAATTGTTAAACAGAAACAAAGTTAAACAGAGATGAAGAAGGTGCAATATAGAATGTGAAATGCTTTAATAATAATAATCTTAATAATCTTAATATTAATAATAATAATCATAATAATCTTAATAATCTTAATATCTTTAATAATCTTAGTTTTACACTTTGAAAGTCAACAAATGTGATATTTCTTTTTTTATAATTTCAAAATAGGAAATAAAAAATTCTGTTTTCTCACAAAATGTCACAAGTCATTTAATTTGTATTACAATTATTAATAATAACAGAAGTCAGAGGTCATCGCCATCAGATAAATCGGGGAATCTATCTACCATAATTTGCTTCTGTATTCTTCGTGCCAGCGCTAGGTTCCTCACCGGTTCGTTGTCCTCCTTGTGATGTATGTACACAGGTTCTTCAGGAAGACCTGCGTCTTGATCATTTAGGAATTGATGAACAGGAAGACGCGCATGAATTCGCATGTTATGCAGAATAGCACATGCGTTGATAATTCTACCAGCAAGTTCTGGTTCATACATTAAAACTCTTTGATACGAACAACATCTCCATAAGGACTTGAAAACTCCATTGAAACGTTTGACACAGTTACGAGATGAACAGAGCTGCATTGTATATTCAAACTGTCTCGTACCTATTGGATAATCAGCTAATGGAGTCATTAACCATGGTTCTAATGGATATCTGGCGTCTCCTATAAGCCAAGTTTGGCGCTCACCTCGATAATAGCAATATTCCATTGCCCTTCGAATAGGTGAATTGTTCCAAATATAAGAATCATTTCTAGCACCTGGGAATCTTGCATTAATATTCAGTATGAGGAGATCAGGATCAACGATTGCTTGAACATTAAGAGAATGATTACCGTGATGGTTAACATAAGCCTCTTCATGTTCTACAGGGCCTAGTATATTTATAAATGTTGCGCCAATAGCCCCTGGGAATGGCTGAGGAGTATTTCGGAATTTATTGCGAGCTGCAGCTCTCTCTTCCTGAGTCATAGAAAATTTAATCCAACGACGCAAGAGTTGATTGATGGCATTTGTAACTGCGTGGATGCATCGACTGACTGAGGTTTGACTCATATTATGTTGGAATTGATTTCCTACTGATCTCTGATAGCAGCCTTGACCATAGAATTGAAGAACAGTTAAAACCTGTAGTTCTGGAGCAAGACCGCTAATTCTTTGGGGTTGCAAATCATGACGCAATTCGTTAATAAGGTAGAGTGCTAGGTCAGGACTGAGCCGAAAAATATCCATAAATTCGTTTTGAGGTAATGCCAAAGGATTTGCATGGTCACGAAGTAACCGGCACTCTAATCTTCTTTCTATTTGCCAGACTCTCTGCTCAAGCAGTAACAGCTCCTATGCAAGGAATGCTGCAGCCATGATACTAAAACAGCATAAATATCTTAATATGTATAATAAAAAAAAATTATTTCTTACTTGCAAAACGTTTCTCATTCAGAACAATAATGTATTATTCATGTGTATAACCTCTAACTATATAATGTACACGCGCATATATCCTGTATACTATATATCCAATGAGTTTCTTATCGTTACTTACTTTCACGATTTAGTTGAATTTAATTTCACAATTTAGTTGAATTTAATTTCACAATTTAGTTGAAGTTTAATTTTTTGAGGCCGTAAATTCCGTAAATAATGTCAGAATAATTTGCTCGATGAATGATACCGTTGTCGTTATAACTCTATCGAGGGGTCTCGTACCCCTCAATAAATTAACGAATCGCTAACAATTTACCGATCCTTATTAACAGGGCCGGAGACTTTGTATTTGAGTGGGTGTTGAGCTCTTGGAATTTTGAACCTAACCTAACCTAATCTAAACTAACCCTAAAATACCTAAAATACACGTGAAATTGCCGCGTCAAGGGCTTTCTGCCATATTGGATTTGAGTCTAGCTAGTTAAGCTGCTCGCACACAGGTGTCATTCGGGGCGGTCGGACAATGGAGAAGAAATCTTTCCGAAGCGCGGATTGGCTCACAATATTCGGCGATAGGCCTATTTGAAAATTCTCTAATTCTCGCGAAAATACTCAGAACATTGATAGCGTTTTCCACTGGCGCACTGAATGCCAAAAGTTTCGTGTTCCACTGGTAATTTCATCGTCAAACACGTCAAAAGTGTAATTTGGAGTTATGTCTAAAATAAACAAATTAAATAAATTAGTATTTTGCTACCAAAAATAACAATAATATTTTTTTTAAATTCAGTTTGAATCGCGTACCGTCACTTTCCCATCGTTCGATTTGACGAATTTGATTTGAAGAATTTGAAATTTGACACTCAGTGCCCACTCAGTGCGCCAGTGGAAAACGCTATGAGTATTGAAAAGAATACATGTATACTTAATAAAATCTCCTACATAATTCATTACATTTTGTCACCTTAATAGAGTGTTGAAAACAACACCCTATAACCGACTGGATGTTGAGTTCTCAACACCCTCAACACAATAGTCGCCGGCCCTGCTTATTAACGACATATTATCGACAAATTATGTTACTTTTCACTTATAGAATCGCTTATATTGTTATTTCTTAACGAACACGATAATGATACCAAAAATTGTCGTTAAAAGATAATACCGACGTTTACCGAGTTACAGAATCCAGCTACTGCAGTAATCTATTCGCAGTTTACGATCTTGTTTTTGTATATCCCAATACTGGTCAGTACTAGAATCTATCCGCAATTTACGACCGTGTTTCTGTCCATGCTTATATAAATTTGCCTTTTATTGCAATTTATATGAATTTACACCTTCATTAAAAGTGATACGTGAACTACTTGATGAAATTCGGGAGAACTCATGAGGTCATGACCTGACAATATATGTCAAGGTCAAGGCGAAGCTGGTTCTTCTGTACTAAATAATTACCAAATAAATTGACAGCTTACGTAAATACTAATCTGTATCGCGCGAACCAATTAATCTAAATAGTATAGATAAGCTGTCACATTTACCGTAACTTGATAATTAAGAAAAAATTGTTTGTATCAGCCGCATAAAAATTGTATTTCATTAATATTAACATTGTTGTAATTTATTGTATCACTATTTTTGTTATTAAATTTTCTCAATATCGTCTTATATTAATTAGCGGCTAAGATTAATCGATTAGATAATTAATTTGAAGCAATTTTACTTGCGAGTTAAGAGTATTTGCTTATTAGGACTTTAAATATGTATAATTTAACATAATTACTGAAGTTGATAAAATTTATTTACACGCGGAATTTAAGTAATTTATCTTAAATCGTTTAATTTAATGTTACATAGATAAAAAAATATTTAAAAGGACATAGGATGCAGTAGTTTTTTTAAATTTAAATGATAACTGCCTCGAAAGTATAGCTGGTATAACTTATGAATAGACTGCGGAACTTTATGCAAAATACTTAACTGAATATTAACTATCGGACAGTTTTAGTAGTCAATCGTTGTTCGTTAAAGAGTTAATAAAAGGTGAAGTAAAAAGATTGAGATTGCCATCTGTAAATTTACAAAATTGCAAAATATGCATTTTATGCAAAACATTTAGTTAAGTATTTTGCATAAACTTCCGCAGTCTACTTATGAATATGAAATTTATTTATAATTTATATTCACTCTGTTATGTGTGCTACTTACTATAGTATGCAGTGTAGAAGATAGAAATGTCAATCATCAGTTGTTATTCTCCGCCACCAAACGATATATATATATTACTCTCTAAATTTCTTAGAGTGAAATCTCACTCCAAGAAAGATGAAAATATAGCCATTTTCACTCTTCTCAAAAAATGACGGTATTTTCACTCTCTTAGAGATTTTGCTCCAAGAAATTTAGAGAATATATTTCTAAATGTGTACAAGTTAAGTAATTGATGTTTTCGTCAAGATAAATATCACGGACCGAATTAGATGCTGTGTGCTAAGAAAAGCATTTTTGCACACTGCAAAACAACTTATGTATTCATTAATGTTCATTCTGTGCGATGAATTAATTTAAGTAAAAAGGTAAAAGGTATATACAGTAGATTGAACAATTGATCCGAACACCGTTTCTACATATCGGTTGTTTTATTGAAAAAATTGTCATGTTAGATAAAAATATATTTATAGTGTTGTTTATAACGTATCAATCAACAAGGCACTCGATTGAAATTAACATGACATCTTCTAATTCATAATAGAAATTTTGTTTTTTTCAATTTATTTTGATATAGTCAACACATGAAGGAGCGCATAAAACGTGATTACGATGCAATATATTTCATGAAGAAACCTCTGAAACACATGAAAAGAATCGAATATTTTTCTTTGTTATCGCACTTTTCACTCGAAGAAATTAGTCTTTTTAATTTTTCATGCAAATGTTTCATACGTTTAATCAATCATAGAAAAACTCTTTCTATTGTGCTATATGTACATTTATACATGTACTTATACAAGGTGTGATCAAAAAATAAGGTGACTTTTCATTTTTATAAAAAAATATTCATTTATTCATCCAAAATTATGTTATCCCCTTCAAAATAATCCCCCTCTGATATAATGCACTTGTGCCAGCGCTTTTTCCAGTCGTCAAGACACTTCTGAAATGCACTTTTGGGTATTGCCTTGAGCTCCTCCAGCGATGCAGCCTTAATCTCCTCAATCGTCGCCATACAATCTTCGTCCTTTCATGGGCTTTTTCAATTTTGGGAAGAGGAAAAAGTCGCAGGGGGCCAAGTCTGGTGAATACGG